GCCAAGGTACCAACACTGATAGTTGTATCAGTATGCCAAGGTACCAATACCAATTAATCTCCATCCATGCCTGTCCCTTTGCTCTGTTTTGGTCGTTACTGGACTCTATGTTTCTGCTGTGTCCTTCAGGCTGGTCTGGTGTCTACTGACTGTCCCGAGCAGCTCCTCATCGCTCTTGAACCCGAGGCTGCGTCCATCTATTGTCGAAAGCTCCGCCTCCACCAGGTGATCGATCTGAGCATGCAGCCAATCATGAATGGCCTGGACCTGGACGAGTCCCGACCCTTTGACTCCAGCTTCAGACAAGGTACAGAGGGGACGGTGCATGTGTTTTTGATTTTCTTTGTCTTTTTGAAGACTGTCATTTGCATAAGCATGAAACCACACGGTGTTCCTGGAAACACTGTTGTTTGAAGTCACTTGAGGATTGTGGATTTCTTAAAGGGCCGACTTGTGTGTTTTATGCAAAACAAAGGACTAAAGATCTGACCTCGGATAGTGTTTGTCTCAGATTACTTTGCAGAAGTGCAACTTCAAACAGACTGTGTGGTTTTTATAGAGCAAGGAGAGAAGCAGAAAGAAGAGCTGCTCTCAAACCAACCTACAGAATTCCCACCAAGAGGAAACCTTCTGGATTTGAAGGCTTTGATTCACTTCATAATGAGCCTGAAACACTTTTTTTAGTGTGCACTTAAACTAGTAATCTGTGGCAGGTCTGTAATGTCAGAGAACAGACGGTTGGAGTTTCAGTGGTAAAACAATTCTCGTAATTCATCCGTAAAATGCCGAAAATTGTACTTGATTATATCTTGCTCTACTGTACAGTGAAATGTACTGCTCTGTGTTCTTAAAAACATTTCTTATTTAAGGTCAAGCATTCCTTGAAAGAGTGCTCATAGTCTGTTTTAAACTGAGATTACCAAAAGGAATATAGATTTAATACTGTGAGATTTTCAAGTATTTTGAAGTATTTGTTGAGGATGAATTGTGCTATTTCCAAATCAAATTTGAGCTTAATGTATGTCAAACTTGTTAAATTGTAGACATTTTGTGTGTTTCCTAATAGATTAGCTGTGGCAGTCATTTTAAATAGGTCTACTCCAAAACCTAATCAGTTCTAGATGTATATCACTTATTATCTTCTGAGAGTTTTACTAAAATCTGTCCTGTGGTTCATGAGACAAACAGTGTTGATGCCAAAACTTTAAGCAAAAAAAGCTAAATGTTTAGAGCTCTGAGTATGTGTTGAGGATGATACTCAGCTACTACCTCGTCAAGTTTTAGCCTAATATCATTAAAATTGTCTGAGTTACAGACGTTTTTGTGTTTAATAAGTTTCATTAGCCTTGGCAGCCATTTTGAAGGGCATTAGGTCCAAAAGGTAAATAGTTGTAGGTGCACATCAGGTGACTACTCCCTGAAAGTTTTGTTAAAATATCTCCAATGGGTCACAGGATATTTTGCTAACAGACAGACAGAATTGATCATAATGCATGATCAGTTAGTGCTCAGAGTATTTGTTGGGAAGGACTCTTGGCTACTGTCACATCAAATTTTAGCTCAATGTCTGCAAACTCAACTGGTTATAGTCTTCTTTTGTTGTTGTTTGATCGATTGCTTAGCTGGGGCGGCCATCTTGAATGACATTGATTCCAAAAGTGAGTACTTTCACAGAGTTTCATTATAATCTGTTCAATTATTTTGCTAACGAACACTATAAAAAAAAAATCCCATTTTTAAATCTTTTTTTTTTAAAAACAATGAACAAGTTTAGCTTTAAATTACGGGTCGTGGACAACTCTGCTCACATTTCTGCTGTAAAGCTGCATGCTAATGACATTCCTGGCGTTCGGTGCAGAAAAGAACAAGAGCAATTTCAAGCTGGGAAAAGAAACTCGATGCATAATTCAGCGCCTGAACGGGCCGTCCAAAATCCCCTGCGAAGGCCCACTTCTGCACATGCAGCCGCACAAAGAGCGTTCACACACTCCAAACACAGGATATTGTAATTGGAACAAGGTGCGGTGAGAGCATGATCTCACCCCCTCCTGGCCTGTCACTCTCCCTCTGCTTCTTTTCTTTCTTTTGCATTTTCTCTCAATCCCACTCTCTTTTTGCAATCTGGCTCCCGTTCCAAACGCACACACTTGGCAATCCCAGTAACGTTTTTTTTAAATACTATCTTTAGCTTTTCTTCCACCACATTTTGCCTCCCAAAGATAGCAACAGGGGAGTCATTAAAACGAGCGCATGTACGTTTTCTTTTCTGCCGTTTCATGTAAATGATTTCCAGACTCGCGTTCCCCTCGTCGCTATGAACAAAAACACACGTGAAGTCGAGGCTTACAGTACATGGCCGTGGCGGGGCCTTTGTTTGGTTTCATTTATCGCCAACACACACAAACACACGGTACATTACGTCCCTCACCGTCCGGGAATCTGAAATAAATATTTTCTTCCAAGACGGAGCTGGTAAACGAGGCTGCAGTGTTCACCGTAAATATCTCAACACTTTTCTATTCTTCTTCTTCTTTTTTTATTGTGTTTAATACTTCTACAGTTTTAGGTAAAGTAAAAACCACTTTTACCAGTGCAGTACTACAGTGTAGTATATGTATAAATGTATATGTTGTATATGTATAAATGTGTGTATAAAACACACATTTATACACAAGTTTCCATGAAAATCTGAAGTTTCTAACGATCTCATCAAAGGAATGTTTATGTGATACATTTCATAAAACAGCCCGATACTTACTGGGTACATACAAACCTGGTACTTACAGAGTTCGAATGGGAACTGGAATGTGTTTTGAAATAACTTGTTACCATGTACTATACATAGTATGTATAGGGCACTAACTGGATCCTGCACTACTTACCTTTTTATGGGTGTGTACTGGGTCCTTAAAGGGTCCTGCACCAGGTACATACTGGTACTTGCAGAGTATGAACGGAACCAGATTGTATTGTGAAATTACTTTACTGTACTTTCAGGGTATGTATAGGGGACTAACAGGATCCTACACTAAGTACCTGTTTGGTAAGAGTATATACTGAGTGCTTAAAGAATTCTGAACCATATATGTACCTGGTACTTACAGAGTATGAACGGAACCAGATTGTATTGTGAAATTACTTTACTGTACTTTCAGGGTATGTATAGGGCACTAACAGGATCCTGAACTAAGTACCTATTTGGTAAAAGTATATACTGAATATCGGTACTTAAAGAGTCCTGAACCATTGTACGTCCCTGGTTCTTACTGCGTATATGTTAGGTATTTCAAGGGTTTTGCACCAGGTATGTACCTGGAACTTACAGAGTACAAACGGGAACCGGATTGTGTTATGAAGTGACCTGTTACCCTTTATCTACAGGGGTACATAACTGGTATGTATAGGGCACTAATATTTTCCTGTGCTAAGTACCCAATACCTATACCTGGTTAGGGTCTGTACAAAAAAATCTAAGAGTCCAGTACCAAGTATGTACCTTGTAAATACATTGTACATAGCCAGTAATTACCTAGTACATATTTTGTATTTGTTTTGTTTCTCATACTTGCAGGGTCTTACTCCAGGTATGACCCTTGTATGTATCCAGTAAATACCAGATCCGTTTAGGTAAATACTGGGTATTAATTCATTAGAAACCAGATATAATCCGTATAGGTTCCTTGTACATTACAGGGTCCTACACCTGATACATACCTGGCACATACCCAGTAAGTACATGCCAGGAATATATCCTGTAAGCAGTAGGTGTGTACCTCATATGTTCCTGGTACATACTTGGCACTTACAAGGTCCTTCACCAAGTGTATATACTTAATCTGTATCCAATAAATACCAAGTACAAATGCCATAAGTCCTAGGTACAATTTACCTTACCATGTTGTATAAAGTGATTCTACCTATTTCTAAAGCCATTATGTCCTGTTTCAAGTTAAACTGCATATTTTGGGTTGTATAAAAGTCAAACAGGCTGTCATGTATGTCCTGTTCCTGCCAGCTGTGTGTGACCACGTTCTGTTTTGGTTGGCCTTCAGTCTACACACTTAACCTGCCACTCACCAGAGAAAACACAACGCTGAAACTCGAGCTCGTTCATTTCCAGCAAGTCGTTCCGACTATATGTTTTACTTGGATCCAGAGATCTCTGTTGGGTTCGGGCCTACGTGTAATGAGCTTTTTGGATTTGTAACTTAACATTTCAAAACAATCATCTTTAGACTGGAAGTGGTGGCTTTTATGTTTTTGACTGAGCCCCTTTGCTTTAAAACTGAGCTCCCGCTCTTCGGCGTTGACCGTACATTAAGGATGTTAAACACAGAGGTGCTAAGAAAATGTTTGAAAGGTAGCAAAGCAGCTCAAATGGATGAAAAGTGGTGATCAGTCTGAGTGTTTGCAGCTGGAAGTGTGGTTTTAATCAAAGTGGCTAAGAAGACTAATAGTTTAAAAATCATTTAAAGAAATGTATTTAATTTGCAAACATTTTAAATTCTTCTAAAATGGATTTTGGCTTTAAAGTAAAATGTTAGAAGCTTTGGTTATATTAGTTTTTCTTTGGCCGAAAACTTAATACAAATCCTTTTTTTCTGTAATTTTAAGATTTTTCCACTCGTGTGATTGTTTTGTTCCCGAAAGATTGTTTGACGATACTTCATTGGCTCTTCCATAAAGAAGTATAAAAGTCCATAAAGACATCTCACTTCATCGGATGAACGGTACTTCATCTAGCTACCTAACAATCACCAATGGTGTGCCACAAGGCTCAGTTTTAGGTCCCACTCTTTTTACAATTTATATAAATAATGTTGGTCAAAACATTCCTGATGCATCCTTGCATCTCTATGCCGACGACACTGTTGTTTATTGCAGAGCTAACACAGTTGCCAAGGTTTTCCAGCTTCTAGTCTGCATTTGACATCATTCAGTCAGACTTATTCCATCTCAAGCTGGCGCTAAATGCTGACAAAACCAAAGGGATATTGTTTTCCAACAGAAAGTCAGTGCCAGCAGTTCCTCCTATGTCATCCATACATGGTTTTCCTATTGAGTTTGTAGATTATACAAATACTTGGGAATTTTGGTCATGCACATCTCTCTTTTAAACCACATATTGAAAACTTTATGAAGAAACTGAAATTAAAACTGAGTTTCTTTTTCAGAAATAGATCGTGCTTAACTCTGAATGCCAGAAAAAGCCTTGTAACCTCCACCTTCCTACCAGCCATTGACTATGGTGGCATTATTTACATGAATGCTCCTGCCAGCTCCTTGCAGATGATGGATGCTGTCTACCATGGTGCGCTAAGATTCATAACTGTTTGTAACTACCGTACCCATCACTGCACCCTGTACTCCTTGGTCAGTTGATCACCATTATTTACACGTAGGCTCTCACACCGGTTCATTTTCATCTATAAATCCCTCCTTAGTCTGCTACCTTCTTATATCTCCTCCCACATGTCACGTCATCAGTGCAGTTACATCATGCGCTCTCAGGTGCAGCGTTCCCTCACTGCGGACTGAACTTGGTAAAAAGACCTTCTCCTACCTGCTCCTGCAACCTGGAACACCTTGCAACAGGAACTGAAGTTGTCCACCTTGATTTTTTTTCAAGGGGTTTCAAACATTTGATAATGTCAATGGAAAAATCAAAGCAAATATGTTCTTGTTTTTAGTTTTGAGTCCTCGTGGCTCAATGAGGCTAGCCTGTATAAATAATGGTTGAATGACGATACTTCAGGCACTTATAGGGCGGCTGTGGTTGAGTGGTTAGAGCAGTCGTCCTCCAATGCAAGAGCTAGGGGTTCAAATCCACCAGCGGTCACATGCCGAAGTGTCCCTGGGCAAGACACTGAACCTCTCATTGCCTCTGGTGTGTGTCCCATCGATGTATGAAGGTGACAAAGCTCTGATTCGTCTCTAGAATGATTTGTTCAATTAGCTTTGTAGAGACCTAGTATAGTGCTGTATGAACGGGTAAATGAGGCACAGATTGTGTTGTAAAGTGCTTTGGGTGTCTTGATAAGATAGAAAGGTGCTATATAAGTACAGCCCATTTATCTTACTTTGCAATGGGCATCCATGCCGATGGGAGAGATGTTTACATGCCAGAGCTGCTAATCTATCTTTCCAAAGTCCTTTTTAAGACCCATGTGACCTCCATTGAGGAGATCTTGGAAAAGAAGACAAAAACTAAGAAAAAAAACTGAAGAAGTTTAAACAATTTCTACTCTCAGTCACAAATGGGACATTTAAGTTTCTGGCAAAGAAACGAGACGACCTTGAACAGCTGATGTGTTAGAAATGCAGTTGTATGTGTTTTATCAAGACATGGCTGAATGAGTGTATTTAGAACTCTGACATCTCTCAATTTTATCCCCAAGTTTTATGGAAATTAACAACTTAAAACACTTTAGAGGTCCTGGATGAGCCTCTAACCTAGGTCAACTGTTCCGATAAATAGAGATTTCCTGCAGTCCAGTAAAAAAAAAAATCCCATTTTCTCGTTTCTTTTTTATTTCACACCCAAAAACCACACTGCTGGAATGTCAGGATGTTTTGTTTTTAAAAATATGTCGAAAAAATATGATTTTTGGTGCTTACCGTTATTCTGTTGTTCAGTTACTCTGTCATTTGTGATTGCTGTTACATATGTGAATTTTTTTTAATATCAAGTATATTATTCAAAGTGTTTAGCATAATTTAGCTGTTGTTTATCCAGTATGTAATGCCATAATAAATGTATGTTTATACTGTTAAAATGGCCTCTGTTTTACACAATGTGGTGGGTTGCCAGTTGGGCTTCCCTTTTTTTTGGGGGGGGGGGCTTGTTTTCATAGAGCTGGTTGCTTGTTTCTATCGCAAGATCTGGCAACACTGATAGAGCTCCCAGGAATATTTATGTCTGCTAAGATCAGCTAGCTGACGTATCCATTTTAAATCAAATTGACTCCAAAACCGAATCTGTTTTAGATGTAAATCCAATTATTTGTTTCTGAAAGTTTCATCAAAGTTCATGGAGGTAGATAATAACTAGATATTTCACTGAAAACAAGCTGCAAGCTAGCAAGTAATTTAGCTACTACATTGCTAGCTAGGAACTTTGATACAGCAGCCTGCCACAGAAACACAATTTACCATTTTTAGCTGAATTTATGAAAACTACCAAAACAGACCATTAAGAAAACAGTTACTAATAATATTTTAGCACCAACATGGTGGTTTGCAAAGAGCTAAGAAGAGCTGAACACTTAGCAAACAGTAATTTATCAATAAGCTTTTAAAATTTCTCCTCTAATCCCACGAAAATAACATTTAGTTTTAGAACACGGTAAAAAAAAACAAAAAAAAACGAACATCTGTAGCACATGGCCTTCTAGTCATAGCAATAGTTGACACTCAGCTGTGAAGAAATTCTGTCCAAATGTTGCTTTCTTTAAAAAAAAACAACAAATTATCTGTGGTTTGTGTTTGTTGCAGCGCGGGAGCAGCTGCGACGATCCAGACACAGCAGGACCTTCTTGGTTGAAAGTGGGACTGGAGAGTTGTGGTCAGAGCTGCAGACTGGTAAGAGGACAGAGCCCTCACGTTGAAGATATTGATGGTTTTGACCTTTGACCTGCTGCGCAGACACGTGCATGTCTTGTGTGTGGGACAACTAATGCGTCATGTTCTGTCGTTGCACAGTTTGAAACTGGGATTTCGACTAAAACAATTGTTTCAGGGTCATTTCACACCAACCAGGTGCTCTGATTTGGTCAAAACTAGTCCAAGATGGTGGGGAAATAAAACCCCTCCAAGAAAAAAAAAGTTTCCAACATTTCTTGCTTCATGTGCAGCTGCTTCTTCTTTCTGTTGAGCCATGACAATAATCTGAGGAGCCGTGAGGACCTGATGACCTTCTCTCTTTCCTGTCTACACACACACACACACACACACACACCCAGGTTTGTTTTGCTATCTTTATGGGACCTTTGCATTGACTTCCATTCATTTTTCATTCATTTCTATAGCCTAACCATGACCTTTATCCATAACCTAACCATTCCCAGTACATACCTAACCCTAAACCTAACACATCCTCAATTCACACCTTAGTCCTAAACCTAGCCCCTAACCCACCAACGGGACTTCTTCTTATGGGGCCCGGGCTTTGGGCCCCATAAGGAGCAGTTGGTCCCCACAATGCAGTATAAGTTGGAAAAATGGGCCTCACAAAGTAGCATAAACAAGGACACACACACACACACAGGAAGGACTCAGCCCATGGGACGATCTGCCTCTGCGTCGTAAATCTGTCGAGGGATTAGAAACACTCTTTACTTGTATTTAATTTGTCGTTTTAGTGAGTATCTGTTTATTTTATTGCTCTCACTTTTTCCACATCTGCATCGTGTCGTGTTTAGGGTCCTGTGGCTGGAACCGAGCCATATCTTCGGGTGTATGCCAAACACTTGAGTACACAAACGGCCATCATGAACACTAAAATTATGTCTTTAAAAAGTTCCCACTTTAACATTTTAAGGGTGAACTATAACACAAATTTTGGAAAAAAGTATATGTACAGATTTGAAAAAAAAAAGACAATACTCTTCCACATTTATCCCATTAATGTTGAAGAAGCACAATATTTGTGTTTCACATTATATACAATCAAGTCCATTTCTTCCTGAGCACATTGAACAAAGAACACAGTGCCACACGTCTAAAGGAAAATGTTAAGAAGAGACTTTATATTTTTTATAAATTTTCGTGGTTAGGAAACGAGGCTGAATCCAGCTCAGACCTGAGGAATGCATCTTTCTTTAGTTCATCCATCCATCCATCCATCCATCCATCCATCCATCCATCCATCCA